AAAGAAAGAAAGAAAGAAAGAAAGAAAGAAAGAAAGAAAGAAAGAAAAAAGAACATCCAGGCCTTTTCCCCTCTGGGTACCCTGGAACTTTCTAAATTCCCAGGCAAGCTGCTTATCGACCACTGCAGCATGATGCCCCCACCTAAGGCTTTGTCCCATTACGTGACCATTTTAACTGGCAGACAGAGGGAACCTGTTGGACTCAGTGTGAAGCATCCAAGGCTCACCCACTCTGCCTGCAGAACTGTGATTTCTCACAAGCAGAGCAGAGAGCGTCTGTTCCAGTTGATGAGGAAAACGGGAAAAAGAAGAAACAGTGGTCGGAATGAGAAAATTCACGTACCAAACTACATCCTGACCTTCTTTTGATAACCCTTGGGTGCTCCGTGCAGGAGGCAGGGCCCCTCGAGTCTTGAGAGATGGCTCCAGAAGTGAGACAGAGAGGGTGAGGAGAAGGCCAGGATCCACGCGGCACTTCTGGAATGGAGAGCAGTGCTGGAAAGATGAAAGCTGCAGGAGGGCTGAGGCTAGACTTCCGTAAGAGAGTCAGGAACAAACGACAGACTGGCAGGAAATCATTTGGAACCTCTGGGAATACATCCCTGTTGGGGGCAAAAAATGGCAGAACTCACAACTCAGAGAAGGGATATGTGAGGTTTTCGCTCCATTCTCTCACCTGAATAATCCGGGGTAAGTGGTGCCATTGGGGGCCTCCTCTTCTGTGCCTCCGATTCCCACCCTAGGGTGAGAATGGATTAGACAGTCCAACCCAGTGAACTTTGCAAAAGGGCCGTGATTACCTTCAGGAGGCTCCAACTGTGAAAAGCAGCCAATATAATAAGCTCACACGTCAAGACTGATTGCCCCCATTACTGTGCCTGCATATTTCTGCCTTCTAATGCCCACAGTGGAGTGGGAAGAGGACTCGGGTGAGTATCTTCAGGATGGTTTTATTAAGCTCATTTCTAGGCATTGCCCATTTTGCATCCTGAGAAGCCATCAAACCCTTTGAACTTAGCATTTTCATTAGAAGCCATCAATTTTAAATAACGATACAGTGAATTTTGGGACTGCCTTTTATCTGAGGACTTCGAAATACATTACTACTTACTGCTGCCAATTCTCAGCATTTGGCGGATGACATGCCATTAATTTTCGAGACAGTTAAACTAAAGTATCTAATGGTGAAGTGTAACGAGCAGCCGCAAAGTCGGGGAAATCGGCGAGAGGGCTGGGCGTGGAGACTTTGGTCCACACAACTACGCTTGCACAACGAGCAAGGGACTAATGCAGCGCCCTGACTGTTTACAAAGAGTGTTGGTTATGTCGGGGCTGCCCTGCATCTTTTTAGATCTGCTCGCTCTGTTTGGAGAGTTCGCATTCCCAGGTTCCCTTGCAGCTTCACCACACCGCACTGCCAGGACCAGCAAATCTAATCACTAGCGCAGATAACGCAGCAGAACAAATTATAGAGCCAAGTTTATGGCGGTGGCGCCATCAGAGAGTTTTATGGACTCTCCCGTTTGTTTTTAAGATAAAAAAAAAAAATTCTACAAAATCAAAATTAGCTCCTGTCATTTGTGGCTAAAATTCTTGGCAGCTGTTAACTCATATACACAAAAAATAAAAGTTCCCAAACTTCCTCTGGTGCCTTTAGGTAGTCTAACAACTGATTGACCACTCCCTCTCTGAAACTGAAGGTCAATTAACTCAATATTTAATAGGTAAATATGCCCAGTATTCTTTAGTTCTTTGTGCAAAAATTCTTTAATAACTATTGCTAAACACTTCCTGTGTTGAGCAAACATAAGTGTTGTCACCACGTAGAAGAGCTGGGTATCTATAAGGCCAAGCCAGCAATAACTGAGAAATTCCACAGAAAAAAATGAAAAATTGTCACCATCACAAGTGATAGTAAGTGCAGAGAAAGCATTCCTGAGTGTTTTGTTACAATGAGACAAGTCCTTGAAAAGAACACTTTAGGCACCACTAAGACACAGGAAGGAAGGTGAACTGGATGAAGGGAGACCAGATAGGGTCAAGTTAGTAATTCAGAGCAGCAGCTTGCATTAGGAAGTAAAGCACTGAGACATGGGTTTAAAAGGGATGCGTGCAGGAGATACTTACGAGGTAAGATCAAGAGGTTTAGGCAGTGGAATCAATATGGAAGAATGTGATGTCTTTCTGGTGATTCACAGGTTTCTGACTAAACTACTAGGTTCAATCTGGCCCCAAGGTAGCACTGAAAAAGCAGGGCATGATGTCACATGCCTGTAGTGCCAGCACTTCTGGATGCAGAGGTAGAAGAACAGTTGGTGAATTCAAAGCAAGCCTGGGCTACACAGCAAGTTCCAGCCATGAGGCATGTAATTAGACCCTGTCTGGAAAAGTATATTTAAAAAAACAGAAACACTGGAAGAAAATCAAAGTGTGGGGCCATTGTCAGGCTCCATCGCAAACATGGTAAATTATTTCCTTCAAACACTGGAGAGAAAGTGTCACATTGTCATGCAACTAGGATCCAGAACAGAGAGGTGACTGAAGGCGTGAAAGAGCGTCTGGTGCCTGGTGTTAATTTTCAGCTTGACAGCCTCTAGAATCTCCTGAGGGCCAATGGACATGCCTGCCTGGGATTATCCTGATTTCATTAACCAAGGTGGGGAAACCCACTTTAAAATGAGGGTGGCTCCTGGGTTGATTGAAAAGGAGAAAGCTGAGCGCACATCACTCTCTGCAACGTGATCAGTTGTCTCACACCAGGTCCTTCCTGAAGAACTGTTCCCTCAGACTGTGAGCCACAGTCAACCTCACCTTCCATACATTGGCATTGTCGAGAAGTATTTTTATGTAATTAATATACCAAATAATGTCAGCATATTATGAATCCAAGAGGGAATTAACCAACTGATTCGGTCAGAGCCCTCAGGAGCCAATCACATCCTCCAAGCCCATCAGCTGCCAACTCAGCCCCCAACACGTGAGCTCTTGAGGAACAGCTCGGATGGAAGCTGGTATTCTGGTCCCATAGTATGGGATGCCAGGATAAGTGAGCAGCTAGATCAAGAGTTATCATGTCCAGCCCAGCAGCACAATTAGGAACACATAGAGAAGGCCATCTGGGGTAAAGAGACAGTCTTTAGAAACCAGTAACAGTAGGATAGCAGGGTTTTGGAGTAAACTTGAAGGTAGCTTAGGGCAGAAGAAAGAAAGGGAGGGAAAGAGAGGGGAATAGGAAAAACTAGCTCCCGCTGTGAACTAATTCTAACTTCTGATTTCTTTTTCTTCTCAGTACTAGTATATTTATTTACCTGAAGGTTTAGGAGGTACTTTTCACCACATGCCTTCAGGTTTGGGGAAGCCTGTCTCAATATCGCTCTGCAGTACTACATTGTATGTTCTAATTATAACTGCCAGCCATTGCTTAAGTTAAGTTAGAATTCTTTCTCACCTTAGTATTACAGTACAAAACACATGCGCGTGCGCGCATACATACCAATCAATCAGGTCCTCCCCCTTTATGCCACTCCAAACTTGAACTGTAATGATTAAGCTGAGTCACGAAATGCAGGCACATCATCAGCACACATGTGGTAATGGCTTTTGTACTTACTCCTGCCTCTCCATCCACCAGGGGAGTCAGGCACAGCTCGCCCTGCCCTGAAGTCACCAACGCAAACCTTCTCCAGAGAGCAGTACGCAGCACCTGAGAGGAAACCACAGTTAAATCTACCCGTGTTCTCAACAGAGCCTTGGTTGGCGGAAGAGCTTGCTTCAGAAATTCCTACTCTGCTGACATTTGGCAGGATTCCTGTCAACAAAAATTGCCTCAACCAACACCTTGTAGAGTGCCAGGAACGTAGCAAATATTCACTATTTGTTTTCTGAAATCTGAAGAAAATGAAATGAAGATGAACCGTGTCTAATCTCATAATAGTCAATAAAATAAGGTCATTCGTGGCAGCCACACAATAGGGACTGTGTAACCATTGGCTATCGGTATTGCAGTCATTGTCTAGAGTCATTGGTGCTTCTCGCTCATGTTCAGAAACCCAGAATGGCCTTTCCTAAGACTCCACCCCTCTATCCCTCCTTCTTAAGTCTTACTACAACTTTCAAAGAAGATTACATTTTCTCTCTATTTTCTCTTCTCTCCTTCTCCTCCCTAGACACACATACTATCAAGCACACAGGGCACGAAACCATCCTGCATTGCTGATTGATGGGAATGAGCACAACCCCTACAAAAGAAAAGTCAACACTATTCAAATTACACACATGTATGCTTTCCACTCCAACAGCTCATACTACAGAAGTTATCCTAAATATCAGCTCACACTCACACGACCTGCACATATATAGAGGATTATTCCTCCATTCATAGCTGTTCCAAATGGCAAAAAAGAAGTGGCAAAGTATACATGAGCGGGTAGCTCACTAAACATTTCCATAACCTACAATCAACTTTGATAGAGCAAATAATTTTAAGTTGACACCTCCATGTTCTTGTATGAGGAAAAACTCCCAAATGTCTTCCTAGGTTGAACCTCAGTGCCAAAGGACAACATACAAAAAAAAAAAAAAATCCTAAATTTTATGCAAAAGTGTGGAGTTAATGATAGACACAGTTGTTCTTCCATACTGAAATATTCAATCAGCCGAAGAGCAAAATATTTGAAAAAAAAATTATGATTGTACTGTTTATGTGAAGATTTTTTCTTACAGTTATTCCCTAAATATTCTGGAAAAACAACACAATGTTTCATGTATATACATGGTCCAAAGACAATTTGAAGTATATGGGAGAATACATAGAGGTCACATTATTTCATAAAAGGGATAGAACATGGCTTTTGGTGTCCTTAATTGGTCCTAAAACTATTCTGGGTTCTGAGGTCCAACTGCTCTTTCTTCAATGTGCTTTACAATAAGAAATTCCTGACAGATATGGAGGAGATTAAGAAGAGTGATTATCATGGAGAAAATGGAAAGTTAGGCAGTCGGGGAAGAGATGACAAAATTGAAGGTAATATTTTTTACCACAAAACTTTTAACTATCGGTTCAGAAGAGATGACATAGACAAGAGGGAAAGAATAGAGAGACTACAGATAGGCAGAGATGGTAACTAAATAGATGATAAATAATTATAGATAGATGATAGATATAGATAGATGACAGATAGATAACAGACAGATGATAGATAAATGATAGATAATCAATACATACATACATAGATGATAGAAGATATGTAACAAGAAAGAGAAAATGTAACCACAGAGTTTATTCCGGGGCCATTGTTCTGCAGCTTTTGTTGATGTCCTTGAAAGTCCAACATCTCCTCTCCCTCTCTGAGTCTTCATCCTCTATCCCCTGAGCCTGTAGCTGCCTTTAGGCCTTGGGCCTTGAACTGGCTGGCCTAATGTAGTTTGTTGAGTTATGGCCCTGTTCTTACATGAATGTATTCCTACTGGGGCACAAGAGTATACATTAAGAAAAATTTCTTGGGTCACATTCACTAATATAAATCTTCATTTCTTTGCTTTTATCAGTTCAAACACAGCCATTTAATGTGACTTACAAATAGCCTTATGTGATATGATATTATAGGTCAGAGGACTTCTCAATCCATCTAAAAATACATAAACACACTGCAATGAAAATCCATTAAAGTAGAAATAGCTAATCCTTTACATGGGGAGAATAAATAATTCACTTCGAGGTCTCCCCCCATAAATCAGCTATGCTGTTATCAAATGCCACTGCCAGCATATAAAAACAAAGTAGATGAATTAAACTTAGGCAATCTTTAAAAAAAGACAGAAAAAGTCTTGATGAAGCATTTTGCGTTTCTTCCATGTCATTCTCCAAACAGATTAGAACAGAGAAGAGCTGGAGGGACCAGGGATGTGCCTCCATTTCTGACCTTAACTTTTCACCTCAGGCCCAGTCTTCATGGTGAATCTGATTCATCCATTAAAGATGCCAGCAACGCCACCCTCCAATCCTCAAGTGTGACTCTGGCACCTTCTCAAGCTTGCCCTGCTTCATCAAGGCCTCATAAGAGGCTGCCATCTTGGCACCCTCCAGTTAAGCAAAAGGAGAGGTTCTGGGGCTAGAAACAGAGACCTCGTTCTACACTCAATCTCCACTCTCAGGGTTTCCAAACTCACATTTAGAAGATCTGTTTCTAAACTCATGGTGAGCATCCAGGACAGCGGTGGAAGAGGTCTAGAAACGGAAAAGTCCTAATCAAAGAATGAGACTCAGCCCAACTTAGCTACTCCAACACCAATGATCCTGGGCAGCAAGATTCTTTATAACTTCAAACCATTTACACGGTGTTTACTTTTGCCAACTGCTCTCCGAAGGGCTTCAGATATCAACTCTTAAACCCTCACCACATCTTTGGGAGGTAAGTTTGATTATATTATCTTCACCTTTCTTGTGAGGAGAGCAAGGGGAGGCAGAATAATGAAGAAACACGCCAGACTTTATCAGCCACAATAAACAAAGCCCACGAAGGCTTCAGCTCATCACCAACTTAACACGAAGACTGCTTCTATCACCTTCAGGTCTATTCTGGGCCCAGCAGGGACTGTATATGAAGATGGAGCCACAAGCTACAAATTGAGCCCACAGGTTAACCAAGATGCTTTCAAACCCTAATGATTTGTTAGACAAGGGGAGTTGAGGTTTTGATGGGCTTATTTTGCCTAGTATGCAAACTTCAGCCTTTTCCAACCGAGAGCCACAGTGACAAAAGAAAATTAAGTCTTCTTCAATGCCAATTAATAAAACCTATAGGGAGGTTATCATTCGCAGTACAAGAACATTCTCCTTCCTCTGTTGAGATGAGTCCTGACTCAGCATGGTACCTTAGACCATAGTGACCAATAGTGAGAATGTGCAGACTGTGAGGGAGAAAAGTAAGCTTTGTGTCAGTTACAACAAAGCTGAATAAAAACCTCAAAATTCAGGAGCTTTTGGTAAGACAACTAGGCGTAGACATACAAAAAAAATGGTTTTGCCTCATATTATATACAAAACTAACTCGAAATGGGTCAAAGGCCTACATATATTAAGCTAAAGCTATAAAACGTTAAGGGAAATGTGGCTGTTTGTTACGGCTTGGATATGAAGTATTCCTTAAAAGACACATGTTCAAAGACTTAATCCCCATATAACACAACCGTTACTGAAAAGGTGCCAAGCATAGTAGAGTATGCTTTTAATCCCACAACTGGGGAAGTAGAGGCAGGCGGATTTCTGTGGGTATGAGGCCAGCCTGGTCTACATCATGAGTTCCAGGACAGCCAGGGTTTCAAGAGAGATCCTACCTCGAGCTCATTTCCCCAAAATGAATGAAAAGAAAACTGATTGTATCTGGAAGGTTCTGACCTAACCAGTCATTGAACCCCTTGATGGATCCATTTGTTTTATGAGGACATTATTGGGAGGTAGGGTCTAGTTGGAGGAAGTAGGTCAATGGCTTCCTGGCATGTCTGGAGAAAGATGGCCTTTTTGCCCAGCCCCTTCTTGCAGTTTTCTGCTTCCTGGACACCATGATGGGAGCAACTTTGTTTTACCAGGCCATTACGTAGTGAGGTCCTGCTTCATCACAGCCTGGAAACATTGGCTCTGAGCTATGAATAATCCTTCCTTTATGTTATGTCAAGTATTTTGTCACTGTAACAAATAACCAGCACAGGGCAATTCTCTATACCCTTAAATTTGGCTAAGGTACACCAAGAGCATAGAAGACAAAACTTTAAAAGCAAGCTGTATTGCATTTTTAAAAGATGTAAAAACTATTTATCAAAAGATAATGTCAAGAAGTTTACTTTTAAAAAAAAAAAAAAGGCAACTATAATGTTTTTGAAAATTAATTCCCAGATGCTAATGCTGTTTTGGATGGACGCTGAACCTCTAAGAGGCAGAGTCTAGCGGAAGGAAGGATGTTTCTGTGGGGTGGGGCTTTGCGATATACTGTCCAGCCCTACTTTCTGTCTCATCTCTGCCTTCTAATCTTGGGAGATTTGAGTAAGCAGCTACCACAAGCTCCGGCCACTCTGGAGCCACCTTCTGCCCTTCCTTCCCTGCTGTGATGGGCTGCCTCTACCAAAGCCATGAGCCAAAATAAATTCTTCCTTCCCCAAGTTGCTCCATGGCAGATATTTGATCATAGTGACAAAACATGCAAACAAAAAACTGGTACACCAACCCACTGAATGGGAGAGGATATTTGCAAATTATATATGTGATAAAGATTGCGTAATCAAAATACATAAAGAACTCTTAACAATTCAACAATAGTAAAACAAACATCCCGTTATTTTTTCTCTCTTTTTGTTTGTTTATGTAATGCAGGGAACAATAGCTTGAATAGATTTTCTCCAAAGATATACAAATTGTTAATAAGCACATAAAAAAGGTTTTAAACATTAGTAGTCTTTAGAAAATGCAAATTAAAACAGGATGACAAATAGGTTTTTTTTTAACCTGAAGAAAACACAAATGTTAATGAGGATGTGGAGAAACTGGAGCATTCCTGCACAGCGAATAGGCATGGAACATACTACAGCCTTGTCAGCCATGAACTCAGTGGCAGGCTCTTTGATCACCAACCCCTGACAGGGGAAAGCAGCATTAACAGACCACAGAGGAAGACAATGCAGCCAGTCCTGATGAGACCTGATAAACTAGGGTCAGATGGAAG